ATATTTGAAGGACTTATTTTTGCATTTCCGTAGAGACGAAGTAGTTTTCCATACGACTCCTGCTCTCAGTTCCCCGCCTCCCACGGGAAGGGAGCCGCAAGAACGCCTTCTTTTCCCAAAGGACCACTTCCCATGGGAAAAAAAGAAGGTAAAAAAAAGGTAAAAAAAAAGAAAAGAAAAGAAAAGAGGACTTATTGGGGAAAAAAACCCACCTGCATGGTCAAAAACTTCTAGATTTATTTGAATACTTTGGGGTTTTGTTTGATTGCTTTCGTTGGAATTTTCAGTGAAAACCCTGATGGAAACCGGGTGAAGATTTTATGTGAACACACCTCGGTTAAAAAGGAGATTTGGTGCTGTGTGTATTACCTGCAGGTAAAGGCAGCAGCCAAATAAATCCCGATGGATCGGGGACTTTGAAACCGGGCCCATAGCTACACCCTAAAGAAAATTGAAGATAAATCTTGGGCGGTAGATCCTTTCTGCCTGCAGCCGTGGCCTTGACCAGGGCCCTGTACAAGGAAGGTCTTTCCTTACCAGTCTCAAAATAATTCACTTTTTTGAGTTTTCAGTGCTTCTTTATTCTAACATCAAATATACCAGCCATGGTCTGATACTTCGTATTACAGGTAACCTAAATGATACGCCGAAGGACAAAGATTTAATGAATACGTGGTCTGAGAGTGGAAAGTGGGTGAACATCTCCGTCGGTCCGGCAGCATTTTAGGGACTCTTCGGTGCTTTCGACGGTTATCAGTAATTTAAGTGAGGATCCAACCTGCACACTCTCCCTAATATTAAGCAGACTGCAGCTTTAAACATTAACTCTTTTTAGGAAGAAATGGAGCGATCGGTAGCTACTATTTCAACAATTACGGCACTCTCAAAAATAAAAAGGCAAGCACACGAAACACAGGTCTTTTCCCTACCAAGCGTGCCCCACCACATCATCCTGAGCTTGAGGTCCTCCCTCCACCAAAGCTCCCGGGTGGCTCGGTGGGAAACGCTCCCGAAAACCCCGGACCCGGTCCCCGGAGGGGCTGACATTTTCAGTAACCTTTTCTATAAGCGACAGCGGGCACTCTCGTCCGGCTGAGCATCCCTCCTGCCTCCTCCGGGGGAGCGGGGTAAAAGCCAGCCGGGCTGAGGGCTGGGAGCCGGTGCCAGTGCCCTGCCCGACCCGGAGCGCTCCCCGGCACCAGGCCGGGTCCCGCCGATACCGATGCAAGGCCAAAAAATTCCCGGCTGATTTCCCAGGTACCCGCCCGAGGGACCGTCCGCACTCCGGTTCTCCCAGCCGACGCTGCAGACTCGGTTAGCATCACTTAATGAACTCCCACGTCTCCGGCAATCCTACCGAGACCTTTAAAGTGGGGCTTCTCGTTCCCGGGGGTATTTTATTAATGCAATACTTAACGCCAATCAAAGCTTTAAAAAAATGTATTCGCACCTCTGCTGCGTTTGGAAACCCTGCCTGGATAAATAATCCCCAGAGACTGCAATTCTGGGACCCAGGATAGCTGGTAACTGCTGATATGAAGGCGTATAGACATGTTGCTCAGCATATTTTTGCTTTAAGGCTCTGAGGGGGATGCCGTGTCCGTAGGCCAGAGGGCACACCGTGTCGGTGCAGGCCGTCGGGCCGATATGGATTGCTGGCAGTATTTTTGAGTAATCTTTTTTAACGTGCTGGTTTATTCCTCGTTCTCCAATGGGTTCATCTCTGCGGGGGTAACTCCTCACTCTACCTGTAGCAAGGGTCAGAGCCGTGACCTAAATTAAGGTAGTTATCATTGCGGGCTATTAACATCACGAGTAGTGTCTATTATACTG